CAAGATGATATCAGTGGTGGGTTTGTTGTATATATGGCTTTTGTTGTGTTATACTTTCCTTCTATGCCTAGTTTGCTGAGAATCTTTATCATGAAAGGATGTTGAATTTTGTCAAATGCTTTTTCTGTGTCTATTGAGATCATCATATGTTTTTTTTCTACTACCTTGAATACATAAGAAAAAATCCACTAGTAGAAGAGAAATGTATATGAGAAAGAGAAAGAAAGTTTATTTAACCACCTCAGAAATCCAACAAACACAGAAGACAACAATAAAAGGGGAAGAAAGAAACAAAAGTTATTTAAAACATCCAAAGAAATATTGATAAAATGCCAGGAATAAGTCAGTGCCTTTCAATAATATCCCTAACATAAATGGATTTAATTCCCCACTGAGAAGACACAAACTGAGTGACTGGATTTAAAAATAGGACCAAATCTATGCTGTCTTCAAGAGACTCACCTCACCTGTAAAGACATGCACAGACTAAGATCGAAAAGATGGAAAAAGATATGCAAATGGAAGCCAGAAACATGCAGGCGTAGCTATTCTCACATCACATAAAATAGACTTTAAATCAAAAACCATAAAAAGAGACAATGAAGGCCACTCTGTAATGATAAAGGGATCTATCCAGCAAGAAGATATAACAATCATAAATACATGTGCACCCAGTGTTGGAGCACCGAGATATATAAAGCAAACACTATTAGACCTAAAGAAAGAGACAGACCCAATTATGATAATAGTTGGGGACCTGAACACCCCTATCTTGACATTGGACAGATCATCTAGGCAAAAAAAAAATCAATAGAGAAACACAGTATTTAAACCACACTTTAGACCAATTGGATTTGGCAGATATCTACAGATTTCATCCAACAACCAAAGAGTATACATTCTTCTCATCAGCACGTGGAATGTTCTCCAGGATAGACTACATGTTAGGTCACAAATCAAGTCTCCACAAATTTAAAAAACTGAAATAATTTCAAGTATCTTTTCAGACCACAATGGATTAAAACTAGAAATCAATGACAAGTGAAACTCTCTAGATATTATACATACTCATGGAAATTAAATAACATGCTCATGAAGTGGGTGACACTGGGCTCAGTCACAGGTGTTGTGGATGTGGACTATAGCTCTTGGGAGATTGTTGGAGTGCTCTGCTGTTTCTCAGGTGGAGTGGGTGACCCTGGACAGGCTCATTGGTGCCCTGGTCAGGACCTGAGCCCCTGTTAAATCCACTGGGGTGCTCTGTAGCTCCTTAGCTTTAATGGGCAACCCTGGGTGGGATTACTAGGGTCAAGATTAGGACTTTGGACCTTGAGGGAGACAATGAAGCACTCAGCAGCTCCTCAGCTGAAGTGGGTGACTCTGGTTGGGGTCACTGGTTCTTTGGGCTGGGCTCTGTATCCCCAAAAGAGTTGCTGGGGCACTTTTCAGTTTCTCAGCTGAAGTGGACGATATGGGGCCAGGTCACTGGGGCCCTGGGTGGGACCCTGTGCCCCAAAGAGTGATGCAGGGGTGCTCTGCACCTGTGCCATTGATGTGGACCACTCCAGGTGGGGTTGCCAGGGTTGTTGACCCTCAAAAGAGACACTGGGTTGCTCTGCAGTACCACTGTTGGAGTGGGTCAGTCTGGGTGAGGCCACTGTGGCCATTGGCAGGCCCCTATGCCCCCAAGAGTGAGTCTCTTTGAAGCTTTTCAGCTGGAATATAGCACTCTAGGTAAGGGTTCTGTGATCATGGGCAAGTTCTTGCACCCCCAAGAGAGATGCTGTGGCACTCTGCAGCTGCTCAGCTGAAGTAGGCCACTCTGGTCAAGGTTGCTGCGGTTATGGGAAGGCCCTTGTGCTCCCAAGAGAGACACTGGGTCACTCTGTAGCTCCTTGGCTGGAGTAAGCTACTTGGTGAGGTTATCAAGGCCGTGGACTAGCCCCCACACCCCCGAGAGAGGGTCACACTATAGCTCCTCAGCTAGAGTACACTTCCCTGTGGGAGTTCACTGGGGTTGTGGGCAGGCCTCTGTGTTCCCAGAAGAGATGCTGGATCCCTCTGCAGCTCCCAGCTGGTGTGGGTAGTCCTGGACAGGCTCACTGGAACTACAGTCAGGGCTCTGTGTCCCTGATAGAGGCAGGCAGGCACTCTACAGTTTCTCATATGGAGCGTGTGGATTTGTTGGATCTGTGGAGGGACTCGGTGCCCTTGTGAGAGGTGTGTGGGCACTCCAGGGCCACCAGCAGTGGCAGAAGTCCCTGACTGATCGACTCTCTGGCTCTGGAATGTACATGCACTGACTCCCTCTGTCCTGAGGTTGGCCTCCACACCGTACTGGGCTGCCTGTTCCCTGTGTGCAGAATACTGCATGGGCTCAGGTGCTGGTGATTCAGTGTTATGAGAGGGCCTCAGGGCTGTGGAGATGCTGGAGCTGTTGGGTCCCAAGGCAAAATACTCTCAGGTGTTGGTTCCAATACCAAAATGGCAACTGCTGCAGCAGCCCAGGATCCAGGGGGATGGGAGGGCTCATCATGAGCTCTCTCCCTGGGTTAATGCAGTCCTGTGGGCTCCCAGCTGCTCCTCACACTGGGCTCACAGCCTGCAAGGGCACCACATCTCCCTTGTAGCCTGGATTGAAGGCATAGCTCTTGCTTACCTTCCCCCTGTAGGCAGAAATTCCTCCTGAGTCCCTGCTTCTCCTGGCTGGGGGATGGGGTGGGGGAGGTCAAGTATTCTCTTCCATTCTTTATGTGGCTTTCCTGAGTTTCTGTGCTCACTAGAATTTCTGTTACTCCTTTGATGTGATCCAGTGCTCTCCTTTAGTTATTTTCATCCAGGTATAGTTGCATATTTGTTGTTTTGTCTGTTTTTGTGGAAAAGACAAGCAGTAGAGTCTTCTAGTTTGCCATCTTGCTCCTGTAGCCATTATTTCTCTTATGGCTCTTAGGTTTATCTTGCTTATGAAGTTCTCTCTCCACCAACACTATAGTCCTAATTTTTCTTTTAATATTTTAGGTTTGTTTTTTTAGAACTGTAGTCTATCTGGAATTTATGTTTCGTATTTGGAGCGAGGAAAGGTTTCCATTTCATTTTCTTCCACGTGGATAACCATTTGTACCAGCATCATTTATTAAATTAATCATTTATTTCCCACACAACTGAAATGCTACTATTCTCATAGAGTAACTCTTCATTCATACTTGGATTTATCTTTAGACTTTCTATTTTGTTTCAATACTCTGTCACTTCTTGTGTAAAGACTATACTGTTTTAATAACAGTATATTTCTAGAAAATTATAATGCCTGGTAGGATCATTCACTCTTATCATTGTTTCTTAGCACTTCTTAGATGTTTATTATTTGATATGAATATCAAATTCTTTTATTCTAAGTCTAAAACAAGGCCCATTTGTATTCTGATTGGCATTGTATTAAATTTGTTAATATGTAAAGGCTTGGCATTTTTATTACATTTTCACATTCAGGAGCTAGCCTCTCTCCTTTTATCTAAGTGTTCTATGTGCTTCAGGAAAATGGTATAGTTTTCTTTCTGTAGATTCTGTACCTTTCTACCTCTTCTTGTATTGTTTTGGATAGTATATATTTTGCTGGGAAATTGTTAGTTTTCTTTGGATTTTTAATTTCATGATATATATCTGCACATAATATTATCTTATTCTTTTAAAATCTCTGTAATTGTGGTTATCTCTTATTCCCAATATTTCATTTTTAAAAAATTTTTCTCACTTTAGTCATTTAATCAGGCTTATCAGGGAGAATTGGTCTTTTCAAAGAACTTGTTTTTGGTTTATTATTTCTGCAGTTTATTTCTGTTTTCTCAAAATTAATTTTAGTTTTTATTTCCTCTTTGTTTCTACTTTTTTAATTTTATTTTTAATATTTTTTGTTGGTTATGAATATTCATGAGATACAAAGAGGGCTTTTTTTTTCCCATCTCATTGGTTGAATAAAATAATTTTAGAGTACATTATCCTTGAATAAAGCCTTAACTATATCCCATAAGTTTTTTTTTTTTTTCCCCCTTTTTTGTCTTTTTTCGTGACCGGCAACGGGATCGCAACCCTCGGTGTTGCTCCTGCACCTTACTCAGCCAGTGAGCGGCCGGTCTGTATGTGGGATCCGAACCCTTGGCGGGAGCGCCGCCACGCTTCCCAAGCGGCGCACTGTAGCAGTGCGCCACCGGGCCGGCCCCTATATCCCATAAGTTTTGATATAAAGTTTTCTTATTTAGTTTTAAAAAATTTGTAACTTCAGTATGATTTCCTTTTGATCCAGGGACTATTCAAAAGACTATTACTTTCAGTGTTTCAAATGAGAATTTTAGTAATAGTGTGATCTCTCTCTTTTGTAAATAAGCTGTTCTTTTACTCTTGAAGCTTGTAAGTTTATTTTCTTTATCCTTGAAGTTCAGGAATTTCACTAGTCAATGTCTAGGTGTGTCTCTATGTATTTAATTCTGCCAAGGACTTGGCAAGACATTTTACTCTTTCAACAAGTATGTCTTTCTTTCACTTAGCCAGTTTTCTGTTATTTCCTTATTAATTTTTTCCATTTGATTTTTTCCTCCTTCTGAAGCTTTTATAATCTATATACACATTTTTCTGTTCTAATTCTCCAATCTTTTGACTCATTATTTTCTTTTCTTTGTATTTTTTGCTTTTGGGTATGAAATATTTCTTCCACTTTACACCAGTCTTTATTTAACCATTCTCCATTTAACAGCCTCTTAGCCCATGTCAAGTTTCTTTTTGCCTCTCTATTCCATGATATGCATCTTTGTAGCTTTTTGTCCAAGTTTCTAATGAATTTCCTTAGTAAAACTCCTAGAAAGGAATTACTGGGTCAAAGAGAATGACCTTTTTGTGTTTCAAGACTTTTGTTACCTCTTACCAAATCGTTCAGTAAAGTTGTACTAATTTATACATTCAAGAAGCATATATGTTTCTTATAACAAAATTATGTATTTTTCTTTTACAGGATTTGAAATTTCTGAAAACCAGAAGAGGCAGGCTGCAATGACTGTGAGAAAAGTCCCTAAACAAAAAGGTAAAGTTGCCTTTATACCCTCAGCCCCACTCATTCTCTGTGTGAGATTGGGGAGCCATAGGCTATGTGTTTGCATATTCCTAGGCCTGTTTCCATGCTGAGGTTCACTTAGGGTGGTGTGTGAGTGCCCAGGTCCCCGGGTGTCCCTGATGACAGGTGGCAAACATTCTTAAAGGCTTAAGGCTCGAGAGTGAATGGTGGAGGGTATTTGTATCTAAAGATAGCTCCTTGGGTACAAGAAAAAAATAGAACTTCAGGTTTTTAAAATTTATTTTTACTTAAAAATAAGAGAAACTTTACTAATAATTTAGAGATAGACAATAGTAAATGTGCATAATTTATTTAATAAGTATAAATATTTAATTTATACTTTATGAATATAATATGTATAATATTTAATAGGTATAAGTATATTGGGGATGTGTGCTCAGCTTTCACTAGTCTGAGTGCACTTACAAAATCAGGAGCCCCAATTCAGAATGGAGGACCTCAAACTGAACCAAGACAGAAGATTCAGATATTCTCTCCTTCTGTGAACCATAAACCAAAGTACTTAAAAAAGAAAAATACCTTGGGAATCAAATTTGAAATAAAGCTTTATTTTCTCTTTCTGATTAACTGGAACAAAACTAAAATGCTCAGCTGAAGAAAGGAAAGGAACTACCTTCTGCTTATTAGAGTGCCCTTTCAGTATTAGTTACTTTATATAAGTTCTTTTGGTATCTTTATGGTAACCCTAAGAAGGCGGGCACTATTAGCCCCATTTCCCAGATGAGAAAACTGAGTGTCTTCAGGGGCAAAGTCACTTCAAACCTAGATTGGCTTGATTCTGAGGCCACTGCTCTCTTCATCTCAGAGTCCTGCTGATGCCCATGCTAGGAAAGAAGAGTTCACTTTTCTGTCTTGCCTCAATTATTGATAGCTGTTTCTATTACTGACAACCATTTTCACTATCTCAAGGGGTGGACGATCTTAATGAGACTTCACTTTCCCCAGACCCTTCCTTCTGCTTTCTCAGTGGGCTCTCTATTTCTGAACAAGTCATCACGCAAAATTCAGATTCAAGTTGCCTGAAATTCCAGCAGCCACATAAAGCACTCACTTATTCCCAATGAAGCTCCCTTCGATTGAGGAGGACTGGCTGGGCCCCTTTGACTAGACATGCCTTCCTTTCAACTGCTTATTACTTCTTGCTCTCAGGAGTCCCTCACTGGCTCTTTCCCTCATCATGGAAATGTGATTTCCCTTAAATAGAGAATTAAGGCCGGCCACGTCCTACCTTTTTGGAGTTAAAATGTGAGAGACAGTGTTAGAAAGCAATCTGGAGTTAATCTCAGTGAGGACTGTATTAACAGAAGAACTGTGAGACTGTGCCTCCCTCCTCAGGCAGAGACACAGGCAGAAAAAAGTTCCAGCCAGCCAGAGTCCTCAGTTTGCAAAAGGGATATCATCCTAGAGCTTGCCTCTGTTTTGTGGAGGCTCTCACTTCCTGAGCTTCTCTCACTCTGATTTCTTCTACTGCCTGCACCAGACTGACTGAACTCCATGGTGGAATGGTACTCCTTTATTCCAGCCCAGGTTCTTGCAAGTGTATCTGACATTGGCTGGTCTTTTCACTGAGAACATTTCATGCAAAGGAACATCTACAAAGCAACCAGTGAGAAGATTGTCCTGCTAACTCATCAAGCATTTGGGTCAGGTTTCTTTCCTACCCTTTCTAGTCTCCAAGCTATTGCTTTCAGGCCCTTTCTTGTCTCTCAGTGTCTAAACACTGGTTCATGTGAACAGCTTCCTTCCCTAACAGCAATCCTAAAGTCTTCAAAGAAATTCATCTAGTTGCAAACCTCCCAGAATCCCTATGAATCTCCTCCCTTATTTCTATTTTTTGGTCTTCAAGACTCTCCTAATCCAGGACTATGGTGATTGATATATTTCGAGACTCCAGGGTGCTACACATGTGGAAGTGGTTGTCAAACTTAGAAACTCAATAGTTGCAGCTTGTAAATGGGAAGAGCAGGAAAGGCTTCTTTCAGGTACCCATGAAAACTAACTTTCTTAACCCTTCCAGTGACCCTTCCTTGGAAGTGATGGGAGGCATTGTTAAGATTTTTCCAATGTAGATGTCACTGGATGGGTCACTCTAGTGTCCCCTTCCAGCCCCATCTATAACACCATGGGACATTATCAACTTAGTCTACTGCCCTGGGAGAGGGGAAGCCTGGCTGGAAGAATAACAGAGAGGAACAGATCTCTAGTTTCAAGAAACGCCTTTTCACTTTACCTTTTTCTTTCATACTGCCTTGGTTTTAAGAATTGATATATAACTTCTTGGGAGTTAGGCACTAATTTCTGGTTTATCAACCCAATTCAGTCTGTCAACATGGAGCTTCCCAGGGCCATGAGCACAGCCCCATCTCCAGAGGCTTTAGGGCCAGCTCAAAATCAAATGAGTGCCCTGGAATAGGTAAACAATCTTGAAAAAGAAGAATAAAGTGGGAGTAATCAGTCTACCTGACTTCAGCAGTCATTATATAGCTATAGTAACCAAGATAATGTGATTTGGGCAGAGGAATAAACATATTAGATGAAAGGAACTGAACCCAGAAATAGACTACACAAATATTCCCAACCGATTTTTGACAAAAGTACAAAAACAATTCAATGGAGTAAGAGTAGGCTTTTCAGCAAATTGTGCTGAGAAAGTTGGGCTTCCACAGGCAAAATCAAGAACAACAAAAAAAAACCCTCAACTTAAACTCACACCCAATATAAAAATTAACTGAAAACTGATAATGGAATTAAATGTAAAGCTATAAAACTCTTAGAAAAAAATAGAAGAAAATCTTCAGGATGTAGGGCTAGGCAAAGAAATTCTTAGACTTGAAACCAAAAGCTCAAATTACAGAATGAAAAATTGATAAAGTGAACCTCATTAAAATTAAAAATTTTACTCTGTGAATAGGATGAAAAGACAAACTACAGGCTAGGAGAAAATATTTGCAAATTACATAACTGAGAAAATACTATTATTTAGAATATATTAAGAATTCTGAAAACTCAACAGTAAAAATACCAAACACTCCAATTAGAAAATGGGCAAAAGACACAAACAGATATTTCACTGAAGGAGATATATGGATGGTAGTTAGGCATATGATAAGATGTTCAACATTGTTAGTTATTGGACAAATTCAAATTAAAACCACAATGATATATCATTATATATCTATTAGAATGGCTAAAATGAAAAATAGTAACAATATCAAATGCTGACAAGGGTATGGAGAAACTAGATCATTCATACATTGCCAAGGAGAATGTAAAATGGTATAGTCACTCTGGAAAATAGTTCAGCAGTTTGTTCGAGCACTGAATGTACAACTGCTCTACAGCCCAGCAATTACACTTCTGGGCATTTATCCCAGAGAAATGAAAACTTATGTTCACATAAAAACCTGCAAGTGAATTTTTTTTCAGTATTGTAGATAATAGTCCAAACTGGAAACAACCCAGATACCTTTCAATGAGTAAATTATTAAACTGTGCTACATCCACACTGTGGAATATTACTCATTAATAAAAAGTAACCTGCTATTTGATACATGCAACAATTTGGGTGAATCTCTAGGGAATTTTGCTGAGTGAGAAGAGCCAATCCCCAAAAGTTATATAGGGTATGATTCCATCTATATAACATTCTGGAAATGATGTAATTTAGAAATGGGGAACAGATTAGTGGTTGCCAGAGATTAAAGAGAGGGTGAGGACAGGAGAGAAGTGAGTGTGGTTATAAAAGGGTAACAAAAGTGATCCTTGTGATGATAGAAATGTTCTATATCTTGACCGTATCCTGTAACAATGTCAATACCCTGGTTGTGATATTTTACTATACTTTTGCAAGATGTTACCATTGGGAAAACTGGGAAAAGGGTATATAGCTCTCTCTGTATTATTTCTTTATTTTATTTTATTTTTTTTTTCCTTTTTGTCTTTTTTACTGACCGGTAATGGGATCACAACCCTCAGTGTCGCGCCCGTACCGGGGACCGGCAACGGGATCGCAACCCTCGGTGTTGCGTCCGCTCCACGCTCAGCCAGTGAGTGGGAACCGGTCTCCACATGGGATCCAAACCCTCAGCGGGAGCACCGCCGCACTCACAAGCGGCGCACTCTCCAGTGCACCACCAGGCCGGCCCATCTCTGTATTATTTCTTACAACTTCATGTGAATCTCTAGTAATACCAAAATTAAAAGCTTTTTTAAAAAAATCAAGTTAGCCCTGCCCCAAATCCCTCCCTATTATTTCCATATTGTCTGTTGACATTCAGTACCCTCACATTTCTGACAGTTACCACCTTTCAAAATTGGCTCTTAGAAAAGAACCTGTTCCTTCCCACTGAAGTGCCAATGGCTGATGATGGCTCAATATGATACTGGGATCAAGTCATCAAATAAAGGCAAACAAAGAAGCTGTAATGTTGGAATTTCAGACATTGGCCAGTGGATGAGGAAGGTATTTGGGAGCAGCAGAAAGGTCTTCCTGGCATGTTTGAATCATATGCTGTGTGCCTCATCCTGTTCTTGGAGTGCAGAACAGAAGTAAACTTTGACTTTAGGACCCCTGGTTCCTGGAATCCTCCATTAATATGGATTTTGCTTTGATGGTTGCAAACCCATCTCAAAAGTTGAGAAGGTCCTTCATCTTAATGACATTGAAGCTGTTCCCTTTGAAAGGTCACAAATATATTCCAAGTCGTTCTTGCTTTCCATATATCTTCTGGTGGTGAGTTTGTTTTCTCCCTCAACTACCAATGTGAATTCCCTATTAAATGCAGGTTCATCACTCTCAACCCAGGGCAAAATACTAAATCACTGTACCTTATGTTTTAGAAAACCATCTCCCCCCAGAGACCTTCCCTGAAGTCAGTAGTTCCTAATCAGACTCTTTTGACACTTCCACGGGGAGTTGAAGAGGGAGAAAACCAAAGTCCTTTGGATTTAAATGGAGTTTGTTGGGTTCTTTGCAGAGCCAAGCCCTGTATAAGGGATTATGGTGCAGAACCAAGCCCTGCATAAGGGATTATGGTGTCTTGGAAAGAGCTCTGAACTGAGAAGTCAAAGAACATGGGTTCTAGCCCTTGCTTTGTCTCCAAGTTACCATGTGACCTTGGATATGACATTTCTCTCCAGGTCTCAATGTACACATCTGCAAAATGGCTGATGGTAATACCCCAAATTTCTTAGGGATACCTGACTGGATGGAGAAGTGTTTGGTGTTTCAGTAATAACCATACCATTCCAAAATCTGTCAGGAAGAGATGGATGATTTGCAATACCAGTTCACACTCTCTCAACTAGGCTGCCTTGTGACCCAGAGTGGTCACTGGTTGATTTGAGAAGGCATTTGTTACTTAACTTACACCCTTTCTCTTTCATCTCCCATCTATTCTAGGTGTCAACTCGGCGCGCTCAGTTCCTCCTTCTTACCCACCACCACAGGACCCGTTAAACCAGGGCCAGTACCTGGTCCCCGATGGCATTGCTCAGTCGCAGGTCTTTGAGTTCACCGAACCCAAGCGCAGCCAGTCACCATTCTGGCAAAACTTCAGCAGGTTAACCCCCTTCAAAAAATAATACCTACAAGGAGGCAGATAATTTTAAAATAAAGTAAATAAAACTATATTTATAGATGGACCTTTTTTCGAAGCAGCACTGTTGAAATTTATATATAGAGAGAGAGACAGACAGACATACACACACATAGACCCTTGACTAAACACACACACACACACACACACACACACACACACACACACACACACCCCACACACACACCCACACACACACACCCAAAACCGTTTTTTGTTGTTTTGGGGAAGTGAAATATATAGTTGGTAGTAAGAGGTACCAATGACTTTGAAACATGCAGAGTAATACACCTTCTTAAAAGTTTCCAGTTCCTACCCTGTTCTCCTCCCATTTTCTTTCAGAAATTGAAATTTCTATTTGTTTCTTTTCTTATTGCAATAATCTCTTTGCTCCCCTGTGAGTGATTCATTGACTTGTCATTATTACCATAGATGCGTTTGTACTGGTTTTTTTCTTTCATGATGATACTCATGCTGAGGACTTTTGAATTTAGTTTGATGTGGTGGGGTTTGGGAGGTTTTTTTTCCCTCTTTCATTTTTCACTGAAGCAGGAGAGGATTTCCTTTCTCCTCCCCCTCAGCCAACCATCTGCGAATGTTCCTACAGCCCTGCAGTTGCCCCAAACAGCCTTTTTCCAGCATCCTCTGTCCTCAGTCCTGCCACTCTGGACATGCTCTGTTGTGCCCTGTGACATAATTGCTTGGTATTTCTATTGCTTTCACTGTGTTTTAGGTGTTGTGGAGGGACCAACAAACAAGCGAGGGAGTGTCAGAGTATAATGATAGAGCAGACTTCAGTTCAGGGAATATTCTGCATTTGAGCTGTTTCTTCTAGCACTGGGGGTTCCCATGTTTGCAGCACTGCTGGGTCGTTGCAGTTTTGCATCTGAGGGTTAGTTTTGGGCCAATTATTCTTTTTCAAGCCGTTTTTGTTATGGATCTCCTCTTAGGCCTGTCCCTTCCTTGGCCCAAAAGAAGATCTGAACTGTCAGCAAAGAGGTTGAGACTCTGCCTCCTTGGAGAGAGATTTATCTGCCCCCCCAGTAAAAAATAGGTTTAATGTGGGGCTCCCTAGAGCAATCAGTTCAGCATCCTGTTTTTCCTGCTCCCATTTGCAGATTTTTTAAGGCAGCATTGATAGGAGTCTATGGAGAGGTTCAAGGCAGAACCCATCTGACCAAGATCATCAGCTGCCTTTAAATTATTGACTTGAAAAAGGTCCAAGGCTAACAGTAACCTTTTAAAGGAAAGAATAGGGACAGGCATAGAAATAGATATCCTTGATCCAAGATATTGTACCTGCAAATCCTACCACCCCAATTGTGTGAGACTTCCACCATTGTTAGTAGATTGCATGGACAATCTTCTCTGGCTCCTTCCTTCTCTCCCTGTCTTCCTTCTTTCTCCTGCCCTCCTGGCGCAGGAGGATTGTTGGTGTTGGCATAGTTAAAGCATTTCTGGCATTCAAAGAAGCCATGTTTCCAACATCCTCCTAACCCAGGACATTTAAAGCAAGTGAGTGAAGGGCACAGGGGCACTTTTCTCTCTGGACAAAGGGTCTGAGGGGGAGATGCTACCCTCGGGCTCATTTTTGTGAGGCTTTCCACTTCAGCAAAACTAACTTATTCTACAAAGAGGCAGGCTCCCTATAGGTATAGGAGTGCCTGTTTCTTCTCCTCACATGGCCCCTTGCCTAGATAGATAGATAGACCTTGAACAACAAGGCAAGGAGAATGGGATATAAAGGAATTAGGATGAGCCCTGCTGTGGAGAGCCACTCTAGTGAAGAATCTGCAGATTGTGAGTCTGTCCTGGACCCCATGGGAGAAGACTTCATCACAAAAAGACCTCAGCTTACCAAGAAGCAGCCATGGCTGCATGGAGGCTTCAGCATAGTTGGCTCAGTTACTGCTCTGTGCCTCCTGACCCAGACCAGGTCCTGCCCAGCCTGGGAATCTTTCCACTATGGAATCAAATTACAAATTGTTTAAGCTTTTATTCTACAATAGGCAAGTCAGACTCGTAGAGTAAGTCAAGGATGAGCCTTATCTAGGCAGAGGACCAGGGCTTGGGACTGGTCACCACTGCTCAGCACATGATTTAGCTACTTAAGCACCCTTGGTAAGGGACATGGTACCAAGCACCCAGGCTAAAATATCCTCCCTGGCAAACAGAGTGTGTGTCAGGAGCTGTGCAGGCCTCCTTTTAGTGTACTTCTTCTAGTTCCTATTTTCCATTCCTCCTCAGTAGGCTTGGCCTTGATGTGCTTCTTCTGGAGTTGGGAACACACAAGGAGGAGATGTTTGGACAAGTCCCTGGGCCTACACCTCTTGGCTAGACCCTATCATCCCCACCTCCCTGGAGCCCATCCCAGGCATTCAGAATCAGGGATATCACCTCTCACCTCCTACTTCTTCACCCAACTCACTGGTCTCACCAGATGCCAGTAATTTGTGAAAACAACAAGAAATAAGCTCTCCGTTAGTTGGAGTATACCCCCAGTCTATGGGAGCAGGGCAGACCAGTGGCCAATAATCCCAGTTAATTGGGGAGCTCAATTAATTACCAGGGCTCAGTGTCCAAACCTATTGTGTCCCCACAGCAATGCTATCCACAAGAACTCTGTAATTTTCCTCTATTTCTGCATGGCCCCAAGCTCCCCTCAACTCAATGAGGCCTGGTTTTGTTCTCCAAAAGGCTTTGCTGATGTGTTCTATGGGCCCTGCTGTGGGGAGGTGATAACTCAGAAATCCAACTCCTCTTTCTATCTCCCTCTCCTCCTTTCTCTCTCTGTGTCTCTCTCTAATGGATCTATAAGGACAGCAATAAGAGAGTTCTAACAGATCTAATGTGAAGCCAAATAGAATCTTTTAGTGCTATGGGGATGGGGTGGGCTGGGGTGGATGGATGGGCAACAGTGATTTTGATTACCCCTGCTACTCTGCATTTGCCAGTTTATTCTTTTGTTTCTTCTGACTGACTCTGTCAAAGTGTCAAAGTTGTATGTTTAAAAATGCTTAAAGAAAAAAGATGTTGTAATGACACAAAGCCTTATGAAGATATTTATGGAGTTCAATAAAAGAAGTAAAAGAACACCTTTAGGAATAGCTCTCATGCAATTTTGTGTGTGTGTGTGTGTGTGTGTGTGTGTGTGTGTGTGTGTGTGTGTGTTGCTGATTGCAAAATAAAGGGAATTTGCCTGGTGTGAAGCCGCTTACCCTAACCCATTCTTGACCTGCTATCCCTGCTGTTCCATTCCCAGGCATCCCATGGGCTGTCTGTGACCTCCCATGTTCTTTCTGGAAGAGTGAACCACAAAATCCAAGTTTTATCCTGTAATCAGGAGCACTTTGTCTTTATGGATAGAGCTGTCCTTTATGTCACCTGGCCCTTTGACAAGACTTAAAGACCCATTCATGAGTTTGCTCCTTTTCCTTGTGTCTACATACTCATGGGAGCTTAAAATCATGGGAGCCTAAAAGTGACTAATCAGGGTTATCCAGCTTATGAGTATTCCTCACCAATCCCCCACCCCCATTTAAACTGACCCCATAACTGCTCACTCTCAGAGTGTTGCTGGGGCAGGGGGGACAAGAACATAGAATAAATCGATACTAACAGGTGAATGAGTGTCATTCCCTGTACACTCCTCAATAGCCCCATTTCTTAAGTTTTCTAATCTAGGCCTCCAGACAACTCCAGCCCCAGGTCCTTTTGTCTGTAGTACCAAGAGCAAGTGGGAGAAGGACCAAGGTCTCTGCTGTGGGCTTTGTCTTACTTCAGTGTTACAGTCACTGAAGCCACCAAAGTGTTGTTTGGCCTACCAGCTTTGGACTCTTTGGGATTTCCTTATTCAGGTTGACCTGCCTACTCTTGGCTCCCAGAGGCATCTCTCCTGACCAGGATATGGGCCTGGTGAGGTAGATCTCGCTTGCCCAAGCCTTTACCTGCCAGGCCCAAGATAACAAAATGAGACTTCCCAGTATCCCCCCAAGTCCTGCCACTTGCAGGACAACAGTTCAGCCTGGTTATAGGTAGATTAGGCTATCTGGGTTTGTAACATAGTTGGAGAAGGATGTTTGGAGGTAAGATTCATGTTCCCTAGAAGGACACTGTCTGGTTCCATTTCTCCTATTTCTGTCTTGGCTGTGACTTCCTTCTCTAGTGGGCCATGAATGTCAGGTAGGCATTGTTTTCTCATCTAGTTGAGGGAGAGGGGAAAGAGGGATGGAACATGGGCATAGATTTTCCCTGTGATCTCTGTCACTTGTACTCAGCTCACGAGGCATCCATCAATACATCACTTAAGGCAGCTTCCTGAGCCAGGCTATGTCCATCTTTGCAATAGCCATGCCTCTCCACAGTCCTGCTGCCAGCCAACTGGATTAGAGTCAACTCATATCCTGGGTACCCACTCTGGGCCAGGCCTTGTGGTAGGACACACTAGATATACCAAGATGGCTAAAATATCAACTCAGTTCCTTCCACAAGTCGCTCAGAGTTTAGTGAGTACATGTAAGCATGGAGCATAACAGGGATGAATGAGGGCCTGGAGGTACTCAGATAACAGAGTGATTCTGATTGAGGAAGATCTCTTTATCAATCAGGATAAGTTTAGTTGTGCTGCAGTAACAGATATTCCCCAAATCTCAGGCTTAACACAGAAGAGTTTATGTTTTGCTCACATAAGTCCTGCCATGTCTCTCCAGGACAGCTATGAGCTATGTCTACCTTACTGCACATCCATCTGAACACATACTTCCATAGTTATCACAGGAGGAGAGAACCCTGGAGTGTTTTTCATCTCACTGACAGTAAAACTCTCTAACTCTGCTTCTGGTCACAGCCAAAGAGCCAGAATTGGTCATATGCCTCACCTAACTTCAAGATAGCAGAAAAGTGTAAATGTCCTGTGAGCCCAGAAGGACAAGAGATCTAGATATGGATGAGCATTAGAAATCTGTATTAAAGAAGAGGAGGTTTGAATTAGGCCTCAGAAAACGGAAAATTCTACCATGTTGTGAAAGTTAGAGCAACTGAGAAGTTAGGAGGAACTGTCCATACAAGACCACCCTCCTTTCTTTTTTTTAACAATCATAAATTTTTATTTAATAAAACATGCATAAGGTATTTGGCATATAAACTCCTATTTGAGGAACTGTCATTCTGTTAGTCTTGGAAGAAGGCAGGGACCAACCTCCCAAAGAAGTCAAAGTAACCTGTTAACTCTTTTCTTTCACAATCCTGGAATCTAAAGTGTGTGTACATGCATTAGGTTTGTCCTTCTAGATGCTTACACCTAGGACTTTGAATATTCAACAATATCTCAGTAACTCAGAAGCAAGTGAGAAACTGTTTCACAGTGGCACAGACAGTGACGAGTACCCAGGAGAAGTGGAGGAGTGGCCTTGATCGTTCAGCTGTGATAGAGCTGTAGATAGCATCAAAACCTGGATGTCTTGGACCACCCTCCCCTCTGACATTAATTTCAAGTTTAGAGGTCCCCAAGACCACTATTACTTCTGAAAACTATTCCAAGTCAAGGGTCCCCCAAACCATCCTTAGGTTCCATAATTTGCTGAAAGGACTCACAGAACTTACTGTTATGCTCACAGTTCCGGGTTATTACAGCTAAAGAATACCAACTAAAATCAGCCAAGGGGAAAAACATATAGGGCAGAGTACAAGGAAGTACCACAGAGCTTTCATTGTCCTCTCCCCATGGAGTCAGGACAGTTTTACTTTCTAAGCATCAGTATATGACAGTATTCATGGAGTATTGCTAACCAGGAACACCCACCCCATCTTCTAGAGATTTTATTGGGGCTCCATCACTGCCCTTATTGCTGAGAGACTCCAATCTCTCCAGGAAGTGAGCTGATGCCAAGTCACCCATAGCCCCCACCTTAAAGCACATTGTTGGTGTGGCCAAAAAGATCACCCTAAATCACATTGCTAGACTATCAGGTAAACCAAGGACCACAGGCAAACAAAAACACCCCTATCAGATATGACATTCCAAGGGTTTAAAGATTACCCACAGAAGCTGAGAGAAAAGGCCAGACCACTCTTTGGTCAAGATTAAATTCTTTACTACACATGTGGAAAAGGCATGGGGCAGAGCGTGGGAAGAGGAATAGAGGATATTCCAAGTGGAGGGCATAGCATGATTAAATCTTGGCAGATTAGGCCATATTGAGTAGAAAATTTCTTAATATTACTTGTATTCATTTATTCATTATCTCACACATATTTATTTGCATGCCTAATACTTCCAGGCTCTGGGATATAGAGGTGAACAAATCAGATACCACTCCTACCTGGACAGTGCTTATGGCATGGTAAATCACCTTGAGGTACAAACTCCTCTGTAAGTGTATTCTTGGGATGGGGGATGGGGTGGGTTTTCCAAGCTCTGGTAGCAAAACAACCACAAGTAGAGCTTCAGCCAGACACTTCCTAAATGCCCAGCCTCCTGATCACCAAATCGGATTCCATGCCTCTGTCTTCTGTTCAGCCTTAACTAAGGTATCCCAGACCCATTCCCAGCCCCATACCTATAAGCATATATAGCCTCATTTCATAGATTAAACAACAGAATCAAATCAAACCCCTTTATTATTATAAATACTAGCTAACATTTATGGAGCACTTGCTAATGTACTAAGGTTTCTGATAAGTTCTCACAATAACCCTGAGGGGTAAATATGATTATTTTCTCCATTTTACAAATTAGGAAGGTGAGGATCAGAGTCACAGAGTTAGTGCATAGGTCAGGTTCAAAACTCAGACTTGCCCCGTCTGAGGTTCTTGTCTATACTATGCTATGCATTCCTGTAGCAGGATAGCACTAGACCTGGCATGCAGTAAATATTGAATATACCAGAAATGATGAAAATATTGATGAGAATGCAGGTGCTAATATGTTGTAGTAGAGGCTGGTGGTGTTTCATCTATCTCCCTTTACTATTTCTGTGCACATCAACCTGATTTCCGATATCCAGCACTTGCATTTTTGTTGGAGGGCTGCCCTCAGGCTGCTGGAACCCACTTTGTCCAATATATAGCAGCCCAGAAATGCCTGGGAATTACTGCCTTTCCTGCCCTGGGGTGTAGTCCTTAGCCAATGGACGATGTGAGGGTCGGGTATAAATAGTTTGGATGTTTTGCCCCTCAGGTGTGATTATTTGAAAGTGTATTTGACACTTTTCCTTAGCGTTTCCCAGGGATTAAGCTTTAGTTGTCCACTGTAGTAACTAGTTTAAGAACATACCCCTTATTGGATGCCTTCACTTTTCTGTATCATTTTCCTACTCTCCTCATATCAGAGGGTGTGCTTGTTGGAGAGATTCATCTAAGACACATGAATGAATGCTCACTATGCATTGTATGAAGTGTTATACATGCTCTTACTTCTCACTGAAGCACTGGTGCTTTTTGGTGCTTTTGTCAGGAATTGTGTCAGCTGTATAAAACAGGAAACCTCAAATAAAGCATCCCCTTCCTGGATCAGATTCAATAAAAGAAAAATATTTAGAGAAAAGGGACAGAAGAATAGTGGCATTTCAGGCATCAGCTGAGACAGTGATGCAGCTCCAGGAAGATTTTCTTAATATCTCAGAAATTCCATTAGGGAAGTGGTAGTATTAAGGTAGAGTAGTGCAGTAAAATGATTTTCAATTTACAGGGTTAGGATATCAGCCTAGTTGATCATGACCAAAATTTTAAAAGATGAAATAGAATAGAATAAAATAGAAAATAATAGAGTATTGCAGATAGAAAAGCTATGTAGAGTTTTGAATATATATGTGTACTGGGGTGCAATATTTCTTACTATAGGCTGTCGCACAGAATGTTGCAGAAGCACTGGTGTAGAGCCAGGCTACCCGGGTTTAAATCCAAGCTCTACTATTTGTTGGCTCTGTGACCTTAAGCAGGTTAGTTAACTACTCTGTGCCTCAGATTCCCTATCTGCAAAAATGAGGATTATAATGGTACTTTTTTGTCACTGAGAAGCTATCGGTTGCCTGTCTGGTATCCATTTTTCCCTTCTTATTTGCAACTTGAACCCCAATTTTGTTTGGGACAACAATGTGCTCAT